TCTGAAACAGAGGCCAAGAGAAGTTAGCAGCAAGAGACAGTAAAACCCTGATGGTATTCATTTTTGCAATTGGTGCGAAAGTCTCCAAGTAGTCAATACCATAAGTTTGAGTGTATCCCTTAGCCACCAGTCTAGCTTTATACCTTTCAACTATACCATCAGCATTATACTTCACTATGAATATCCACCTACACCCAACAAGCTTCTCTCTTGGTTAATCAACTAGTTCCCAAGTATCATTCTTTATAAGGGCATCCATCTTAGCCTTCATTGCATCCTTCTACTCAGGGACAATAAGGGCCTCTTGAACTGTTCTAGGAATGGGAATGGCATCAATGGAGACTAAAAATGACTTATATGATGATGAAATGTAATCATAAGAAAGGAAATGAGAGATACAATGGGCAGAGGATGAGGTACACTGACGTTTCCCCTTACGTACTGCAATCAAAAGGTCAAGGTCATCTGAAGATGCAGAGGTATAGTAGTGGAAGGGGGGATGCCATTAGTAGTAGGAGGTAAGGAGGAAGCAATACCTGAATCTGATGTTATAGAAGAGATAGGAACTGGCCTGGACTGGTCATTACTAGAACCAACTTTCCACCACCATCTTCTGTGAAACACCCTTAATTCTTTACACTTTTGACAACTCCCTTCAATACATTCCTCACCACTTGCAGGAATGTGCAAAGGAACATCTCGAGCAAATACACCCTTCTCACCACTCTCCCCCTGAGGTGAAACCCTAGGGTAATAAGGAACATCTTCAAAGAAGGTGACATCCATGGATACAAATCTGGTTCTCGAGACTGGGTCATAGCAACAATACCCCCTTTGATTTTGTGCATACCCTAAGAAAATACATTTGGCAGCCTTTGAATCAAATTTTGAACAAGTAGGCCCAAGGATTTGGACAAAACAAGTGTAACCAAAGGTTTTTGGAAGAATAGAGAACTGCTCCTTATCAGGATACAACAAGTTAAAAGGAGCTTTCGTGTCCAAGACCCGTGAAGGAATCCTGTTAATCAGATAAACAACAGTAAGAATGGCATCCCCCAGAAACGAATAGGAACATTAGTATTCAGCATGATGCTTCTTGCAATTTCAAGGATGTGTCTGTTTTTTCTCTCAGCTACACCATTCTGCTAAGGTGTATGAGACAAGTGCTCTGATGAATCACTCCATGTTCAAGGATATAAGAGGATAGGGGTTTTGCAAAATGTTCTTTGGCATTATCAAATATGAGATTTTTTATTTTAACCCCAAAATGAGTCAGGATCATTTCATGAAAAATGCGGGTCAAAGTGGGAACCTTATCCCGAGAGCGCATGAGGTAAACCCATGAAAATCGAGAGTGGTCATCAACAAACAATAGACAGTATTTGTACCCATCCATAGCAGGAAGATGATAAGGTCCCCAAACATTAGTATGCACAATTTCAAAAAGAGCAGAACTTCTTTTATTACTTTGTGAATAAGTTGATCTACAATGCTTTTCCAACTCACAACACTCACACTTCAGACTGGACACTTGGATTGACTCAAAAAAATTAGGAAAAAGACTCCTTAAAGACCCAAAAGAAAGATGACCCAATCGATTATGCCAAAGCATAATCTGACTCACAGACTATGACACAAAAGACTTCCCATCTTCTTTCCTCTTCCCAAGTGGATGTTCAAGCAAGTAGATCCCATTCGTCTCACGACCAATCCCAATCACCTTCCTTGTAGCCAGATCCTGGAAAACATAATGATCAGGGAAAAAGGTTACTGAACAGTTCTGGTGTTTAGTGATAATACTAACAGAAAGTAGATTAGTGCTTAGTTTAGGAACATGCAAAAACTGAAATAGGGACAAGAGAGCCATTAGCAATAGACATTTTGTCTCTTCCAGAGGACAGGCAATAGGTGTGAAATAATGAAGATAAACTGGTCATATGATCAGATGCACCTGAATCAATAATCCAAAAATGGCTAGTGTTACCTGGGGTAGAGGCATGATAGGCAGAGGCCCTAGTACCTGATTGGGCAAAAGCAGAGGTGGAAGTAGTATGAGACTGTCCAGAGCCACCAACTTCACTCTCCAGCCGAGGCCCTTTTCTCCTCTTCATTTTCTGGTGTATTCTTCTTACTAGACAGGTCTGAACCTTCTTGGTTTCAGACAACTCTAGATGCTGAGGATTTATATCCATTAGAAAGAGTGATAAGCAGGAGAAGACAAAGGAGTTATGTGAGAAAAGTGGATGAAGTACCTTATATGTGAGTGATAGCTCCTAAGTCAATGACCCATGGGGATGATGAGGTAGAAAGAAGGAAAGTGGAGTCAATGCCTGATGTCTGGGCAAGAATAGCAGTGGAAGAAGATGAAGGGGAAAACAATCGATTATACTCTTCATTAAAAATAATTATCATCACCCCTTTTGGCTGATTACTCTTCCTTAGAAATAGTCATTGTCCCCCCTTCTAGCTAATTGTTTGTAGCAATGATCTGTGATTGGGATTGAGACATATTATCCTAATAGGTGACTTGGTTGGCATAACTTCCTGGTTTCTTCAACAAATGGCAATACTCATATGTCCCTCACGATGGTAGTGTGAGCAAAACCGAACCCCATACAAATCTCTATAGTAGCCAATTGTACATCCTTCCAATCCACAATGAGTGCAAAACTTAACATTACCACTCCTGCCTCGTCCACAGCCACCTCTACCAGCTGGAAATCTAGGAGGACCACAACCACCATTTCCACGTCCTCCTCCATAAGTACCACAACCACGTCCACTACTTCTAGATACAACAACTGTTGCTTGATCAAATGATTGGGTGGATTCAGATAGCTTGGCCCTTTGAAGTCTAGAACATACATCCTCCAAGTCAGGTAACTCTGGACTTCCCAAAACCTAAGCTCTCACTGATTCATACTCAGGTTTGATCCATGAAAGAAACTTAGCTACATATAATTCTTTTCTCTACTCCTGCATAACTGTAACATCACTGGTGATAAGTTGGTATATATTGAGCTCCTCACTTCTTCCCAAATCTGTTTTGAAGTATCAAGAGTGCTGCTGATTTTTGTTTCCATGGAATTCCACAGCCAAGTTTTAATTTGTGCATCTTCCTGTAACCACTCCAAATACTTGGAATTACAGTCCTGGGTTTCTTATCAATAAGATACTTCAATTTCCCAATAGCTGTGAGTGACACTTGTACAGTTTTTGTCCAAACAGCATAGTTTGCACTTCCATTCAACTTGATAGTAGTCAACATAAAGGTTGTGGGGGCCATAACACTTGATTTTACCTCCATTCTATCTCACTTTTCTAAGAAGGATGAGATCACCACTAGATTTTACCAACCTGATCACTCTCACAGTCACAAATCACATGTCGTGTCACTATTAAACACTTCACAGCATCAATCACCTTTCTAAATCATCACAGCATCAGTCACTAGTCCAAAAAAATCACTCTGCAGCATTCCATCTTGGTTTTGACCCACTAGAAGGACACACACTTCACTATTCACCTATCACAACAGCTGTGATGGTTAAAACCATCTTTAATCACCAAGAAAACTTTCTAAATCTGGTCTGATCCCCTGTAGCAGTGAGTACCAGTCCCCAAAAAGAAACCCTAGGTAGATCGACTATGAAAAGAATCCCTAACAGACCTCTTTCACGTTTCCTGCTCTGATACCATGTAAGATATGGTATTACAGAGGCACTAAACAACAAGGAACAGTGCTGAAAAGAGAAAGAAAGAAAGAGAGAAGAGAAGAGAAGAGAACCACCAAACTGTTTTGAGAGAGATTAGAATGTCTTAATCTCCTCTTAACGGCCCAGCTTTATGTTAACTTTAAATTATGGATAGACTTAAAAGTATGTCCTTCTTTATGAAAAACAGTGGACCCTAAGATAGAATTACTTAACTACCCTAATGCCCATGTATACCCAAAATAATGTTCTTTCAGTACTTTCAAACCAAACACAGCCTTAGAAGATAGACTATTAAATAGGTTGTGAGCTCCTTAATGATTGATTGGAATGTAGGGATAATTACTATACCCCTAAATATTTTATTGTATAACTATTTTATCCACTAAACGACAAAGCAATAAACCATTTAGTTCTATTGCTATGTATTAATTCACACATTGTACCATTTATATTCATTCAGCCTACCACCTACTCATACATTTTATATTTATATGCATTAGTAAATTAGTAATCCATCTTTATATAAAACCTTTGTCAAATAAGAACAAAGAATGTAAAATAGAGATACTCAAATGCAGGTAAATTAGGTGTGCATATACACCACTGAGCCACTTATACAATTACATGTATGAACTTTCAAAATCACATTTAACAGATTGCATAAATAAAATTGGGCCAGGCTGAGCTTGACCACGCTCTGAGGTACCTAACCCAAGAATGATCTGCCCTTGTCATGGTTTACAATGGGCTTGGGTGAGACCAAACCTTTATGCAAAAATTTAGGACCAGGAAGGGTGGCCATAAATCCATGATTACCCCTATTTGGTTGTTTATTTCTGCAGCTATTGAACAGGATCATCTTTCTATCCAACAATAATTCATAGATACACATTTTTCATAAGAGCCACTCAACATACACCATATGATTTTTTGTAGTGGGATTTATTTATTTCTTTCTCTTCATTTCATTTATCAATACAACTTATCCTTATAAAAACATGCCATGAATATGAAAATATATATGACACATATGTATTAATCTACTCTTGCAGGTTGCAAGTTATACTTGATAGTAGATATTGATAACACATAGAGCTTTCATTAACATATTAATAGCTAATAGAAACCAATAAACCATGAAATCAAATGGGTGCCTCAGAATGTTATAAGACATTAAAAGGTCATTTGATTGTAAAATATTTATTACAAAAACATTTATTGTGTACAAGTGCTTACTAAAGTTTAAGATTACAAAAGCGGAAAAAAGTTGAGATAAATACATACTGGATGATTAACTCTTTGAAGTACACGGAACATGAAAACAGCTAGTGCATCAAGTGAATAGGGATTTGAATAATTTCCTGCATGTTTCAAATAAAAAGGAACAGAAACATTTAAGAAAAAAACCCAACAGAGAATAAACATTGAATCAGTTGTACAATCTAGGTAATTTGGGTTTGTTGCTTCTCAGTGTTTTGGAAATAGTTTTGCTACTCAGGGGGTTCCAGTCATTTTTGAAAATGAGAAGGTCAGTGATGTATTCTTCTACTCCACTAATAATACTGAAACCATAGCCTGCACTGCAACTACAGTTTAGAATAAAGAACTGGCAAAGTAAGGGGGCATTCTACAACATGAATGTTTTGTTAGGGGTGTCCATGAAAAACCAAAAAACCGAACCACAAAATGCGGTTAACCGAACCGATAGGTTCGGTTTTGGTTTGGAATTTTTGAAAAACCGAAGGACCGGTTCGGTTTTTGGCTAACCTACAAAAAAATTGGCGGTTAACCGAATTGACCGGTATATATATTTTATGTATATTTTATATATATTTTTAATATATGCCACATATTTTCTATATATTATATAAACATATTCATTATATATAAATAAATACTTATATTATATTTATAAATATATTATATATTTTAAAAATATTTATAATATATTATGTTTCATTTATTATTTATAATATAATATTATACTGTCGGTAAATTAAGAAAGTTTGGATTTGATTGATTAGAGATTTGAATAAATTTAGGAAAGTCATATCCTAGGATTAAGGGAAAGATTTAGTCAATCCCTGATTGCGAGAGATTCTAGGGGTTTGTCTTTCCTATCTTTTCTTATTTAAGTTGTATGCTCAATATGTTAGTTGAAAAACAGCCCACTTGATGTATGGAACTGTTTGATATTAGATGCAAACCAGAAAATGAACAAACAAGAGAGGAAGAGAAGAGAGAGCTG